AGGGACAACCATTTGGTACTGGCCACAAACCCATTGACACGAGCTATGGAAATAGAATCTAGCATTCTTAGTAAATTGAAAAAGTGTGACTCTAAGTAGGAGAGTCTATGTCTTGAGAAAGCAGGACACTGTAGCAGAAGGTGTATTGGTGCTGGCGATAGCGTTGTACATTAATGGTTGTGTCGGGCATCAAGAGTTCATAGCACACAATACCGATCTGCTCCTACCAGACACAAAGCCGAAGCGATTGGGCGTTGATCGCTTTAACACGAAGCGAGATGGTGTTGAGTACTGGCTTCATCAGGTTTTCAAAATAAATCTATTTTTGTTGCCCATCACAATTTGATACAAAAAAGATATTCTTTCGTGGCGTTGGAGAAGCATTTTACAAGTGACTTTGCGACTTTTAATTTGCGGTTCATTTAACTTCTCTGGTTTAAATTCATTTACTAAATTTATCGACCCTCCCAATTGCTCGTAAACTTCCAACGATTTTTTCCTGTGACATGTTTAATTCTTTTGCCAATTGCTGTTGAGTTTGAGTTGGATTATCATTCAATATCATAGTGCATTGCCCATCTTCACATTTTTGGGTTTAACAAAATGCTCACGCTCTTTCATATAGAAATTACTATTTTTAAATTGTCGAAACCATGTCTCAAATATTGTAATCAATGAAACGTGCAATTGTTCTTTTACAGGTATAATATAAGATATCGATCATTCTAAATATTAAACAAAGACGCTAGTTTTTGGAGGACGCAACTTGTAGGTGTTTATAGTTTAATGTATCAGTGGAACACAACGAAACATATGTCAAATTAACACGCTGTGTGCATTTCACAAGCGCCATGGTTAAGTTAAAACTTATGCATACCTCTGGTACACATAGGTGCATATATGTCTTCATGGTTTTGTTTGCTATGTTTATAGGTAATTGATAATATTCATTGTATTTTAAATGCCATAACAACTTGAATTTTACTTATCAATATAGTTTCTTTTAAAAGTACTGATTCATTAAGAGAATTTAAGAGAACCTTTTATTGTTTATCGGATGATTTGTCTATGGTTTCAAAATAGGCAATAGTTCCGGCAATCACTTCTAAATTGCTGCTTTACACGTTATATGAAAGTCTGTGATCGTGGGGTAATATCGTGGGGAGTCAGATTTGAAACTACGGTGGATGGGAAAACAATTCAAATTGTGATTTGTTCAGTTTTGTTATTGTAATGATTTGGCGATTGGATTCTTCCAATGTATAAATTTTATCACATACTTAATATAATATCGATCTTCATTTTTCAAAGTATTCGATAAAAAAATATCGTGTGTACCACAAAATTCGGAGGATAAGTCATAACCAAATAACATTTGCATTTTGGTCACTTTGGGCAATTGTAGCCGGTTGTTATTCATTCTGCTGACTGCCGATTCGGCTCTGGGGTAGTGATGGATCTATGTTGCGTCTTTTGTTCCATATCGCTTGCAAAAAATTTAAACAGCGCTTAAAGTCATCAACATGTGAGCATGCTATATGGTAAAAATTTTGAGCACTTCTTTATCAACAAATGTAGTTGAAAATTTATTTACACTGGCGTTATCTTTAAAATGTCAGTCATCTTCCTGAACTATACTTTGTGCTCATTCTAAATGGTTTTTTAAGCTTTTTGGATACCTTTTTGGACAAACATCTTATTCGGACGCTCAGTGAATTTAGAAAGATTTATATTAGCTCAACTAAGAGAAGTAATATATTGCATACGCGTCCATTTTTTCCATTGTTTTTTTTAATTAATAATTGTTTGCAATTTGGAGATTAGTAAAATACTATTTAAATTTCACATAAGATATACCACATTAATTTTGTTGACATATATTTAATAAATATTTTCTGGTAAATAGGTCAAATTTGATTTAATTTAAATAAATGAAAATAAGAAAATAATTAATTGTTTAGTTTTATGTGTCCATATATGTTCATTCGATGAAAATAAAGTCATTAATTTTTGAAAATTTTTAATTTAATTTTTTAAATTAATTTGTGATTCTTTAATGATCTTCTATTGAGATATAAATACCCAAAACTTAGCTTAGAAATTCTTGAAGCTTGCTGGTCGGAACCACGCATAGACCTTAAAGATCCGTAGCGATAGTAGATAAAAGTTTTTAAGAGCAGGTTATAACGTCGTACATTACTTAAGATATATGTGTCAGTGCTAAATTTTAAAAGATAGATCACTCTAACGTCATAGACTAAAAGAGCCCTACAAAATTGGTACCCGTAAATAATGTAAATGGAATTTTTGAGAGGCCCTTAGGACTCGGTGCTTTGTTAAAATTAAATTGAAATTAATTTGCAATTTATAATTAAAATTAAGCAAAAATGTACAATTATTATCATTGTATATATTCACAATATGCTGATGACAATTATTTAAGTATATACAATAGTCATAAACTTAAATTTTGTGATACTGTAAAAATATTTCTTTTAACTTTTATGATGTTATAAAATTGTTGAAGTCACAGGTTTATAATTTTTGTTAATCAGTAAAAATTATATATTAAAAAAAAAATTTAAAAAATATCTTTTGGGGCTTACAAATCGATAAGAAATTTTAACTAATTTTTTTTTACTCTACTAAAATTCTGTCGTTTCAAATATGATTTTCACATTAATATGTATCTATATTTGTTTGAGTTTTGAAAGGAAATTATAGTATATATTAGGGCTTAAATAAAAATAAAATATTAAATAAAATAAAAAAAAAATAAAATATTCTTATTTAAGCTGTAATCGTTATTGTTTTATTAAAAAATAAAAAATATTTATGTAATAACAATATTAATCAATTATAATCCAAAAATATATAAAAATAATAATTTATTTATTAGGGATTTTTGTTGTTTTTTAAATTATTATTTTAATAGCCACTGCAGAAATAGATAAGCTTTGATCTTGCCGAATCTTAAGTATCCTTCAAACGAGGCTGTTAATTAGATGCATTCTTCTATGTATAGAAGTATAGTTAATAGTGATCTCAAAGCTTTGCTTGGCATGTCAGTTGTTATCAAGAATATACTAAACCCTACAGAGAGTCACTAACACATCATGATAATATTCATCATTCGTTTTTCTTTAAATGGTTGCTCGATAGCAACGCCAAAAGTATACAAATACAGACCGCATAACGATATAGCCAGCATTTAATACATATTGAACTGAGTATTAGGAGTACAAAATTACTTTAGTAATCTACGTCTTCTATTTATATAGTAGTTGTAAAAAAAATTCATCTCTAGTATTATGAGAAATTAATGAGAATGTAATATACCAATGTACTATACTAATGGGTTTTTATTTTTGAAAAAATTTTTTAAGTAGAAATGTGGCTCAATGTATTTATTTTAACATCTACTGACTTTTTTCTCAATTCTTTATGAGTTGTTCAAACATATACTTAAAGATGAATATTCACCCTGTCATTTTGCACGTATGTAACACTGATTATACTGGTCTCGAGCAAGGTCGCCCAATCGAACTATTCATAAAAAAGCCAGAACTGAAAACTTTACAATGAATTTCATATAAATAATACTACATTTATTTATTGGAATTATTTATTTGGTTCAACATATAAATTAATTTAGTCACATAGGATTTGTAATTTGAAGAGATATCCTTCAAGAAGTTTAACTCAACTTCTTGTATTCTTAATTTATAATGATTAATTGCATTCCATTTAACTTAATAATATTTACAGTCAAACTAAATCTTACGTATACTTATATATTCCTAAACTTAATGCAGATAATATGAAAATTAGAGGAAATGAATCATTTTCCGAACGAAACATTAGGATTGAATGTAGTGATGAGTAGTTTCTGCAGTAATTCATCATTCTATCCACCAAAATAACTGCCACCAGATGCTTGTGCAGTCGCCGTACCTCCACTGCTGCTGGCGTAGGCTGTATCTAGAGGAAGAAACATGTCCAAAACACTGAATTTTTATGAATAATTCAAAAGCAGATAAAAATACACAATGTCCGAATTTTATCACTCAAGTTACAAAAACTCACTTAAACCGTTGCCGTAATAAGGATAACCTCCATAATAAGGATAACCACCACCACAAGAATAGCCACCACTGTAGCACGGATATGAGCTGCCATAACTGGGGTATTGTGGATAGTAGCTGTAGCTGGGCACACCACCATAGCCACCACCACCAAAACTATTTCCATACAGACCACCGTAACCGCCGCCACCATATGCACCTCCATATGTACCACCGTAACCGTACGGATAACCACCTAATCCACCTAACCCGCCGAATACAGTGTATTGGGCTAACACAATTCTAGAGGAAATTGTGGCAACCAGCAAAAGGGTCGACGCAACTAAGAAACGAAGCGCAAACATTTCCGCACGGCAAGAAGCGACTCACAGGTATTTCAATTATGCAATTATTTATTTAGTTAATAGTTTTAAATTTATTTCAGTTTGTTATTCAAACAATTTAGGCGCAGTGCGTGATCACCTGTCAACTAATCCAAAATCCCCCGAACTTTAACGCTTTTATACAGAAACTCTAATCAGTTAAACGATAAACAAATTATTTAATGTTGTTGGCATTGTTGGTTTAATGTTAATGAATAAATTTAATTGCAGAGATCAATGAATCGGTCACTGGGATTTTTTGTTTGCTGATGTGCAGTCTTCCGTCAAAAGTTTATTTCTGTTTCGCTTTTTGTTTTTGGGGTTTCGATCTTCGATATTAGAACTCACATAAAATTTTCTAGTAAGTATAGCCGATTGATTTTTTTTTATATAAATTTTGTCGTATAGAGTAACCCTGGTAGTAACTGCTAATTAAATTAAAGGCGTACTTAAATATTACCAAAAATGTTTACTATAATTATAATTACTTATTTTTAAATTGTTTCAATTAAATACATAAATAATTTCACAACGCTTCAACCACTCATAAATTTATTCAATCGGTTGACAAGCCAATTTTTAAGACTAGTTTAAAACAATTTAAATATTAAAAAAAAATTTTATTTTTATATATTATTGTCTTAATAAAAGTATGCTGTCTAGAGAGAAGAGGATAGCCATGTTAACTATTTTGTCAATGACTTTCAATTAAGTTCATTTTTTTTCATTTATAATTTGGTTTAGGATAGTTAATCTATTTAAAACAAAAAAAATTTAAACATGTATAGTGGATTCATAAAGACATTAATTTTTGTGAGTTAATATTTATTTATTGGGTTTTCATTAAAAAACAAATAGTGAATAATCTTAAATATACTATTATATTATAAATATATTGAACTGACTCGGGTATCACATGATATTTGATTTATATATATCACTACCAAATAGTCCAGTACCACATATTTGAGTCAAATACAAATATTGTTATTGAAATATATATTCGAAATATTTAAAAATAAAGCCACGAACAATAGAACTAAGATAAAATAACTCTCCAATAAGAAAGTTCAAAAAACAGCGGTTATAATCAGAAACTTTCAAAAGGTGTTGACTGAAAAATAAATAACAGATCTAGTTTCGCTAAAAAAGTTTTAGAGTATGTGCTGTTGAGCTACATGATCTCTACCCTATCTTTTTGGTATAACGAATGATGTAATGGGAAGGGCCTATGTTGTTTCCAATTTTTCTTTAATTATTCATTATATCTTAACATTTTTTTTCAGCAAAAATATAAATTATATGTATTTACAGTAATAAATTTTGGTAATAAGCCTATTTAATGTAAGTATTAAAAAAATGTATATATACATATATACACACAAAACTTAAGACTATATGAGCTATAAAGCGACATTGACGTAGTCAAGAGGATAAAAATTTCGGCTTGGTCATGTTGTGAGAATGGAAGAAAGTGTTACGGCCAGAAAGGTGTTTGATTCAGTATCCGCACGTGGAAAACGTGGTAGAGTACATACACATCTTCGGTAAAGGACCAGGTGACCAAAGATTTGGGTGTGCTCTGTAGTATGAACTGGTGACAAGAAGCCACTGATCGCATGCGGAGGCTACTTAATGCAGTCAATGACGACTTACGCCTGTAATGGCCAACTAAGTAAGTAAGTAAGAGCATACGTGCAATAATCAATTCACTTATTTGTTAGTTATATAGTGGTTTCATTATATAGAATATTTGTTGTATCGTTAGAATCTTCTTTATAAGGCCGGATTAATAAGTCAAAAAACAAATTTAGTAAAGTCATTCTTTTTATATATATTTTTTCCCTTTAGCTCACTATATGTGGTTCAATGATCTGCTAATTGTTCCTACCTTTCACAATAAGCCTATGTGCTATCGATTATCTGCTGTTTGATAGCAAATCTTTTATATTTTAACTATTATTTTAGTCTTCATAGTAGGAAAAATTCGATACTTTATTTTGGAAAATGTATTCGATGTGGAAGAATTCGTTGTGAGATTCATAATATTTTGCAATGCCTGTTAAGCAATTGAGCATATAGATCAATGATAATAGTCATTGATCATTTGCTTTCCGGCTTCACAATTTTCGTTTTTTCCCTTATCTTGTAACATTACCTTGTAACATTAATAGGTATTGTCTTCAAATTGGCGTTAGTGCTTTTGCTTCACAGTAAGGAACTGTTTTTATTCGTCTATCAGTGAAAATAATGTAGTAAACTTTTTTGAGAAGTTTTGCTGCACCTGACCAAATTGGATAGTTCGAATAAAGGTCCAATATAAGTCTACACATACGCCTATGTTCAAGCTATGTGTCATAATTATTAACCAACATGATTAAGGACTTAATGTCCTTCAGTGTTTAATCTTTTGAATAATATGAATATGAATATGAATAATCAATATTCCTTAGTGAAACTAAAGCAATGAATTTTGTTCTAATTTAGACAATAAAAAGCTAAGAGATGATAGTTGCTTCAACGTAATAAGAATTTATTATCTTAAAAACCTTTTAGAAGAATTTATAAGAACTTGTTGAGTTGTACTATACTTTTGTCTAGGACTTTTGTCTGCGTCACATATGTTTAACTTTATGGCATATTTAAATGTGTTTTATTAACTAAAACTGGAAAAAATCACCTTATCTTAATTAAAATATTTGAAAATTATAGATTCGTCTTCCTTGTTGAATTACTATATAGTGCCTACATCAAATGCTAATTAACTGCAAGACGGTAATGATGTTGCCTATCTGGATGATATTGTGATGTCGAAAAAAATATTCTACTTTTCTATCGTATATGAAATACAAATTTCCACTATTTTACTTTATTGATATTTTTGTCTTAGGCCGAGTTTCTGGGAACGTCAAGTTGTTGGAACTATTTTTAAATACGGTACTTTATTAAATTTAGCAATCAAATTAATAGCAGTTTTCTAATAGCTAACAACTGTAAACTTTTTACACTTGGGAGGGGGAGATTGTGTCGATGGGTTAGAGATACAGTCGAGTCATTCCACTTTAGCGGTTGACTAAAGAACTCAGCAGGAGTGATGATGCCCATTGGTCTAGCGTCTGTAGTTGATACAATCGCGAAATTTTATTTCATATTTGTACAATTCTATGGTGTGAAATTAAAAGCAAAATGAAGAAGAACTATTCGATTTGTAGTGTTTGACAATCGTAACAATTTTCAACTTGTACCGTTAATATTGAAGATTAATGACATGAGGTATGTTAGGAAAAATGAAATTATTTTCTGACTAACGAATATTTTTTTTACTGATAAAACAAGTTTCAGTGATAATTTTTTATATGGTTGCAAAGTTCATGAGTGGTATATTATACCAAAATTAATAACGGTCGGGAAGTTATTTTGGCCAGGAATTCCTCAAAAATTAGCCGAACTCTTTTATTGAATTTTATAGAAATGGAATTGAATATCTGAAAAATATCAATGTATCATATGTTCACAAACATTTATGCATTTGTAGTTCAATATAACTTCTAATAGTCAATATACAAGGTGAACTTCAAATTTAACAGAACTATTTGAAAATAGGAATCTATTGGCGATCAACTGTACCGTTAAGGTCAACCCTGTGTTGTTTACTTTGGGACGTACATTAAATTTATTAATACTTCACATTTCATATACATATACTCTTTTAGTTAATTAAATATGTTTTTTCTATAAATCTTATATATAAAATTAACATTGTCAAAATGTTAGTTACCGTACTCCTCCGAAACGTCTTTACCGATTTTTACCAAATTTTATATGCGTATTCAGTAGGTCTGGGAATCGGCTACTATCTATTTTTCATACCGCTAAAGTGATTAGGGTGTCCCTATCCAGCAAAAATATCTTTATTGCTTTAATAAAAATTTTTTTATTTTTTTGACATAAATTTTTTTATATTTTTAAAAAGAAAACTTGCTATGATATGAAAAGTTGTTGTCTATGAAAATACTGAATTCATAAAACTGCCCCCTAATTTCTGCACTATCGTTGATTCCCAAAATGCTCTCATTGACCGCGTATTTCCAGATGTACACATACAATACATAAATCATGGGTGGCTGGCAGAAAGAGCCATTAGCAGCAAAAAAAACGTGGACGTTGATGAATTAAACTTCAAGATAAAACAGACATTGCCAGGCGACTTAATATCATACAAATCGATCGATACAGTTTGTGATACCAACGAAGTTGTAAACTATCCAGCAGAGTTTTTAAACTCACTGGATTTGCCAGGCATCCCACCACACATTTTACGACTGAAAGTTGGATTACCGATTATTTTACTTCGGAATTTGAACCCACCACGGCTATGCAATAGTACCCGATTGGTAATTAAAAAATTGATGAAAAACATTATCGAAGCCACCATTTTGAATGGCAAGTTCCGAAACGAAAAAGTTTTATTGCCATGAATTCCAATGATTCTCACAGACAAGCCAATTTAATTCAAACGCGTTCAATTTCCTATTAGATTGGCATTTGCAAAGACCATCAATAAGTCACAAGGCCAAACGATGTCTGTTTGCGGTCTTATATATAAAATTTCCATGTCACAATATTAGTTACCGTACTCCTCCGAAACGGCTTTACCGATTTTTACCAAATTTTA